GATGGCCACTGCACTCTAGCCTGGGAAACAGGGCAAGATTCCATCTCAAAAACAAACAAACAAAAAGTGCTACGAAGGCTCTGATCTTCTTGGCTTGGGCCACCTGCCCATGTCTGACCACATCTCTGCAACCCAGAGATAGAGCACACTCATCTGCTAGGCCAGGACCACAGGGTCACTCCTAGAGCCAGAGAAGGGGGTCACCCCCACCAACTACATAGGAGGGAGGGGTTGATTTCCAAAGGAAAATTGGGGTGGTCAGCAAAAGAAGAGGGAACAGATGTCCACCACCCCCTGACTCCAACCGTCCCTACTTCATTAAACTATAGCTAGCAAAGTCACACATGGCAGTACCACATAAGTCATTCTACTTATGTGACACTAGACAAGCCACTTACTTCTCTAAAGCTCTTCCTCACTGGTAAATGGAGTTAAGAAAAAGAATCTGCCAATAAGATTGTTGGAAAAATTAAATGAAAAGACACAGGGCTTAATGCTGGCATAATACTAATAATACTTATTAGAATTATTATTGTGATTATTATTAAGATTATCACTTCTTCAGTGAGATCTCCTGATCCCATCCCTCCCTAGGCAAGACTTATCCCCTAATGGCTTCCCAAGCCACTGCTGACTCGGTTGTGGAGGCCACCACGTTGCTTAATTAAAGAGGTCAAGACCCAGCTGTCTCAGACGGAAATAAATAAATTACCCACTGGGCGGGAGGTGAATGTCTTCATGCTTCATGCTTGATTCCGACAGGCCAGCAGCAGGCCTGCAGGCCCAGAGGGTGAACCCAGATACTCCACGCAGCCCCACCCTGATCCAGTTAGCCCTCTCTGGAGACGCACGCCCAGGATCTCAGTGAAGAGAAATTCAGGGGGCGGGGGGGGCACAAGCTGGCCTCTGGGGCTAATGGACCTGAAGATGTTCAGTATCCTGAGATTTCTCCCATCCCTTCAGACACTGAAGGGAAGGGAAAGGGCTGTGTGCCTGTCCAGACGGCTCCCTCTCTTTCCAGTTGCTCTGCTGGGACCTGGAGGAACCCATTTTCCAAGTGGAGCACACCCCCTTCTTCAGCCTACTCTGCCTCTTTGAGAAGGACAATGGAGGGTGTGAGGGGCGTCTCCAAAGGAGATCGCAAAAAAGCCGGCTTGATTAGCAACTGCTTACGGCACACTTCCTCTGCACCAGGCGCTGGGTTTTGGGTGCATTCTGGCCTTTAATCTTCACTAAATTAGAGATGGTGACGGCCATGTGAAAGGAAGCTGAGGCTGAGAAAGGTCTGTGTCCACAATCCCATGGCAGGACCTAGATAGGCACCAAAGCCCTCACTCTTAGGACTATGTTATCCAGACTCCCAATTTCCAGGCCACACGAGGCCTCTGCAAGGTCTAAGGGTGCAAATGTGACTGCAGTGGCCATTTAATAAGGGTGACCTAGGTGCCAGGTACTGAGCATGGCACCTTTGGGGGATGATCTGTCAGGTGAACGGGAGGAAAGTCTCCCTGAAACCTATCTGAGGACAAGGGAGAGGTGGCTGACCCCTGCCGAGTGAGCAGAGCTCATGGAGCCACCCCGCTGAGGAGGGTACTGGCGGGTGAGAGGCTTGGGGGTGGAGGAACAGACTCTTAGAAACTCACTCTTATCTCATGGGAGCCTCTCCTCTCCATCACCTTCACTGAGCCAAGGCCAGGCAGGCTGAAGCTCAGCAAAGGGAACACCTGAGGCTCGGGTCCACCTGGAGCTAAAAGAGGCCACACCTAGGGCAGAGGTGGGCAAACAACAGCCCACAGGTCAAATGCAGCCAACCACATGTTTTTATAAATAAAGTTTTATTGGAACACAGTCACGTTTATTCATTTATATATTGTCTGTGGCTGCTTTCCTCCTACAAAGGCAGAGTTGAGTAGTTGTAACAGAACATATGGCCTGCCAAGCCCAAAATACTTACCATCTGATCCTTTGCAAGTTGTGCTTGTGTTGTGCAAAGTGGTTAAGAATGTGGTCTCCTGACACACATCGCCTGGGTTTATTTCTGGAATCTTTTCTATCTTTGACTTTCACCAGCTATGAGACGTGACCCTGTGCCTCAGTTTCCCCTATTTCTTCACTGCGCTGTTGTAAGATTAAATGAGTTAAAATAAGTCAGAGTCTCAGGGCAGTATCTGGCATGTGGCGTTTGTTGTGTTATTCTGGGAAGCACCCCAGGAACTTGGGGAGTAAAACCCCTCAGCATCCTGCACCTTTTCGTATCTTCTTGCATTTCCTGCCATGCAGCTCTGACTGGCCCAATAATTCTACCATTGGCCAGAGCTGGAGAAAACCATTAACACCAATAAATAAGACTAACACAGGGCATAATGGGAATAACGGGCTTATTTCCTTCCAAAATAAATGTCACTGGAACAAACTGTTCAAACTACCAGTCTTGTTGTTTATGGATTTATTAGCTGTTTATCTCCCCCTCTGTATTGGTGACATGATCAATAATTGCCCATAAATTCTGGGCGTTTACAAGAAGGACCATTTAGAGGATGAAAGGGAACATCTGGTTAGTCTGATTACTTCACACAGGCCTAGGCCACAATCGCGGATGTTCAGGATGGCTTTTGGGGGTGATGGGTGACTCACAGCAAGGGGCAACTGGGTCTGGGCAGAGTCGCACACCCCCTGGTTCAGGGCAGGATGCATGGCGGTGCCCTGGCTCACGTGCATGCATGCCTACATGTGTGCCTGTGTGTCTGTTAATATGCCACTCACTTCCAGTCTCTGAGTGTCTCTGTTTCTTTTTCATTCTGTTTGTCTCTCTACCTCAGTCTTGTCTTGTTCTTTTGGGGTCTGTATCCCTCAGACCCTGTCACTATGTCTGTGGAGTTTCCATCTTCCACGCTCGTGTGCACAGAATTCGCTCTGCAATGAATCCTTGCTCAAGCAGCATTGCTGGTAGAGATGAGTGAAACAGAAAGAAGCCCATGGAAGAACAGATAGAGCCCCTCTTCCCGTGGAGACCACACTCTGTCTGCAGAATTTCCCCAGATAATGAGGAAAATAGCCAGACCTGAATTTCCAGAAGAGGCTGGTTAGGTTCTAAAGTCTGAGCATGTCTTCTGGGCGGACTTCTACTTTGGAGAAAAATGTTAAGAATGAGATGAAAAAAAAAGAAAAAGTCATTTAGATAGAGGGAAAAGCATCTAGCTTTTTATCTCCCAGTTTTCTTTCCCAAATGGAAATCCACTTCCTTCCTTCCAACAACATTTACTGCACACCTACTATGTGCCTTGGTGGTAGCATCTGGCCGCGGATGAAGAAGGCCTTCCAAAGCCACTGCCTGGAGGGGAAGCTGGCCTCAACATCAGGACTGACTGTGAAGGCTAACAAGATGCCTTCATAGAGAGATTCACAGAATGCCAGGGAAGGGCCAGGAGCCAGGATTTATGCAGGAAAAAAAGCCACTTATTTCTCCACCAGGGTGCACTCCTCCACCCTCCCAGCTTGGAGAGACAGCCTCCCTTTCTCTGTTCACCTTGGCTTTCAGACAGGTCGTGGTTGAGATGAAAGGTGCTGTGTACAGAGGGCCGCAGGCAACAGGAAGAGCTGACATCCCTGCTCCTGCAGGGCCTTTAAGAAATGTCACAGACCAGCAGACTGTGAAGGCACTTTGGGTCTGCAGAAAGAACAAACATCCGTATAGGAATCCTGCCCTGGAGGTGCGCTAGCGAGAAGCAGTAGAGTGAATGGGGCCTGTCAACAGAGAAGAGACTGGTGGACCTTGCCAGGCAGGCTAACCCCTTCCAGACAAGGGGCCTCACTGCCCAGCACCCCTTCCAGGACAGGTAGATAGCATCACCTTCCTTTCACAAAGGAGGAAATCGAAGCTGGAAAGAAGTGCGAAAAAATACACAACTAGCAAGTAGCCAACCCAGGTCTGTCTGATCCAAAAATTCGTCCTCTTTTCCCAATACCACAGCCTTTCACTGCCTGATTATTTTAAGACCAAGATCACATGCACTGCCCCAGCTGCTCAGCCCCTGTGTTTGCATCTGCTGGCAGGACATGTCTACCACAGGAGGAATGCACCGTAGGGGTTGAGGATGGGACTCCAGTAGCCCCAGACTTAGCGCATCTATCTTAGCACCTCCAGGGAGAAGAGTGCCTCTCTCTCCCCAGTTTCCCTTACAACAATTCCAGGGAAAAGTCTGGTTGGCCTTGCTGGGGCCACATGCTCACTCCTGAACCAATCACAGGGAACTTGCAAAGCCCTGATTGGCCAGCCCTTTATGACAGGGTGGGCTGCCATGATGGATGTGCTCCCATCTAGGGCCACAGGTAGGTGTTGAACATTGACTCAAAGGGTCAGGGAAGCCTTCCCAGAAGTCATTAATTCACTGAGACCTGAAGGATGAGTAGGAGTACTCCAGACAAAGAAGTAGGAGAACCGTGTTGAGACAGAGGGACTCGCAAGTGCAGAGGCCTGGGCTGCTCCAGAGCTTGTCTTGTTTACAGCCATGTCTCCCTCGATCTTCCCAGGGATGCTCAGAGAATGCTTCAGAAATGAACTCCACAACTGGCTGTGTGGCCTTAGACAAGTTACTTGCCCTTCCTGAACTTCAGCTTCCTTCTCTATCTGGTGGTTTAATCATTCTAACCTTCCAGGATGATGCAAGAATTCTGTTCATTCAGCTTCCAAATGTTCATCGAGCACTTCCTCAACGCCCTGCATTTTAGGCCTCCCATTGAAAAGAGAGACTTGGGGCTCACGCACACGGCTGACCTACAGCCAGAAATGAGAAGGGAGCTATAGGGAAAGGCAGGGCAGAGGGAGAGGTCCAAGGACAGCGAGGACAGACAATGGGAGGAATGGGGTGGCTTGCAGTGATTCATGCCTTCACCAACCCCACCTTTTCCCCAGTCCTGCCCCCTCCCCTTCCACTGCCACACCACCCTGAAGCCGATTTACCCACACTGGCTAGGTAAGCATCCAGGGCAATAGAACTTTTCTCCTCATTCCTTTGCTGGACAACTTTGTAACCTGAATAACAGGTTGGGACAATCTCCAACAGGAAGAAGGAGAAAACACACTGTTTTGGGTTTGAGTGGCAACGGAGGGATTCTTGCTCCACCCTGTGTACCTGTCCCGGGTGTCTTTCCCACTCCCCACCCCAGCAGGCCAGTCCTGGACCCCAGCTCCAGGGCACCCACAGGCTGCCAGGACAAGCAGATTGGACACTCAGGACACCAAGAAGCCCTGCAGGTACTGGGTGGGCAGCCAGGGACTCAGTCCAGAGGAAGAGCAGCCTGGGGAGCCCTCACAGCCCATCTGGGACTGGCCACTGGCCCCTGCCCCTCTCCGCCCCACTGCCCTGAAGCCAGATTTCCTGCTCAGCACAGACAGGACAGCGAGAAGCTAGCCCCTTGCCCAGGTGTGTGTCCCATATCCTCTGTCTCTGTCCCTATCTCTGTCGCTGAGTGTTTCTCTCTGAATCTGTGTGTACACATATCAAGAGTACTTGTTCTGTCTCCCTCTTCTTCTCTCTGTCTCCCTCTCCCTCTTCTTCTCCCTGTCTCTCTCTCCTTCTCCCCATTCATCTCTGTCCCAGATTGGAATGGCTCTGTGCACAGCCTCTGTGAATATTCATCTCTGTCTGGCCATCCAACCCCATCTGTCTGACCCTGTCCCTGGTAACTGCCCAGCAACTGGGAGGTGACACAGGGGAGAGATGGAGAGAAGGATGACCCTGCCCTGCCCAGAACTGAATAAGAGAGGAAACTTTGATTTCAACCCTCCTCTGAGATAAAAATTCTTGGCATTGAGACCTCAATGGGTCTAGGGAAGAGGGGTGTCAGGGAGTGTTAGCAGCTGGAAACCTGCATCCAAATTCTCTTACCCCTGCAAGCTGAATAACCCTGTGCTTAGCCATGGTGGGTCTTGCTTACTCATCCCGAGCATGGAGGTTGTGAGGATTAAAGAGATAATGCGTGGATGGCACCTGGCACACCTGTAATATGTGAGTTCTGATTACTGTTTATTTCCACACAATAAGCAAAGATCACTTGGGCTTCTGCTCCCTGATGGTTTCACTGCGGCTAGGTAGCTCGACATCTTTTGGCTGGCTGATAGGAAGGAAGGAAGGGAAGGAGGGCCAAATAGATGGATGGAAGGATAGATGGACAGGTAGATAGAGGATAGATAGATGGGTGGCAAAATGAATGGATAGAGGATGGATGAATGGCTGGGTGGATGGATGGATGGATGGATGGATGGATGGATAAATCAACTGACAGATTGATGGATGGATGGGTAAACAGATGGATGAACAAATGGATAGATGGATAAATGAATAAATCAAATCTTCCAAAAGACAGTGGCTTATAAACTACCCCTTCCTCTACTTTCTTATCTCTGCACTTCAAAAAACATGGCGAATTGAATATAAAATTCCAGGGGCAAGAGTGAAGGAGAGGTGGAGGCAGACAGAAAAGGAGGAAAATTGCCCTCCTGTCCATATGGCAGGTTGTGAGGGACCCAACTGAAAGAATTGTATTCTCCACAGTTACAGGTGCCTGTCCCTCATCTTCAAGCTTGGTCACTTGCAGATCTGATGCCAGTTTCCAATTGGATTTTCTTCTCTCCTTAGGTGAAAGCTGACCCCACTCCACCCTTCACCTGGACAAGATGAGAGTGTCAGGTAGGCTCTGAAATTGCTTTTGGAGTCATTTTTCTGTCAGCCATATCCACCCATCCTGGGCTCACAGTGATTTGGCTGTATCTGTTCTCAAATGGCTAGGCCAGAATTCCGGGAGGAAAGCAATCCGGGGGGCCTGGAAGAGCAGAAGAGGTGACTTCCTGTCTCTAGGCTGAAGGGCAAGAGGAACTTTTGCACAGCGGCCCCACCTGGCTGGGAGCATTGAGAGTGCCCATCTTGGAAACACTTGGCCTGGTTGGAAATTAAAGACAAAATATTTACCTCAAGGAGGGCTATTCTAGAACTTTTATAGCATAGTGCTGGGCAAAAGAAAGGCAAAGGCCTTCTAGTCCACACCCTTATACCGTACCCCCTTTGTATAGATAGGGAAACTGAGGCAGCAAACAGGAAATGCACCTGCCTCATTTACATTCCAGAACCGCTGTAAGGAGTCAGGGGCACAGGGTTTTAAAGTCAGCTTACTTCTCTGGGTTCAAACTCCATTTTTGACACTTACTAGCCAAGTGACAGTGGGGAAGTGACTGCCTCTCAGTTTCCTCATCTGTAAAATGGGAAAAATCAATAGTATCCAGCACATAGGGTTACTCGGAGAATGAACCAAGATAATGTATTCAAAAGTTGCTCACACAGTGCCTGGCACAAAATTGAGTGCTGTGTGAACATGAGCTGGTACCCGAGAGGAATTCTGGGTGCCCAGAGCCATGCTATGCTGTTGAAGACCAGGGATACCCACAGAGCTGCATACCACCCCACAGGACCCCGCGGCCCTTCTCCCTGACCTGAATAGTCAGAGACTAGTTCAAGGTTCTAGAGCTGAATTCGGGCTGAGGAGCAGGGGAGATGCTGACAGGAAGGTCACAGGGAGGGGTGCCACAGCTGGGCCTGTGCCTCGAGGGTCAGAGCAGGATGGATGGATGTGATTCAGAAAGCAGCAGGGATGTGATATGGTGCTCACTTTCTGGTCCCTGTAAGGAAAGGGAACCCCAGATGGCTCATCCCCATGAGTGGGGCTGTAATCACATGAGGGAATCGGAAAGCATTCTGGCCGTGGGGCAGGGGCCAGGGAGCTATGGCTTAACTGGAAGCTGCACAGCAAGTCTAGGTTGCGGTTATTTGTGGAGGCCTTGAGGGAGAACTGATGGAAACTGGGGCGGGGGGGGGCAGCCCCACCCCCGAGCCACCCTGGAGGCTGCCTACTTTTGACAACTGCAGCATCCCTGCCGAGAAGCTCAGGGGCAAGGGCGTTACCATGTCTGCTCTGTGCCTGAGGGACTCCAACTCAGAGAGGCTGAGCTCCTGCTCAGAGTCACACAGCACTGCCAGCTGCCCTGAGTGCTGGCCACAGCCTTCCTGACTCCTGTTCCAGGGACCCCTCCCAGAGTCCTGCTCTCCCACTGCAGTTCTCAGGCCTCCCCTTAAGGAGCTAGAGAAAGGTCCAGAGTGCTGGCCTCATTCCTAGACATTCTCTCTCTCTGGAGGGCTAAGTGGAGCCCAGGCAGGTACATTTTTAACTTTGTCTCTCAAGAAACCCACTTGGGGGAATGTTACCACATGACCGGGCAGCACAATCTCACCATCTAACCACTACACAGATTAACACGTGGTCTTACCACATGGCCCCATGGTCTGGTCCCCAGCATGGATGTGGTCTGAGCCCACGGCATGGGGATCCGGGAAGGACTTACATATGGTCTTGCAATGTGTTCTGGCTCTGTGGTCTGCTGGCAGCATCCCCTTGCTTGGCAGGTGTGTTTCGCGTCCTGGCCCTCATCTTTGCCACGGTCACCACGTGGATCATTATTCGAAACCACATGGGCTTCAGCATAAAAACCATCCGTCTGCCGCGCTGGCTGGGTGAGTGGGGCTCACTGCTGGGGGTAGGAACTGCAGACAAGACCTGGGGGCCGAAGACATATTCTTCCCTCCATCCCTAGGTGACCCAGGACAAGCTGTGCACCTGCCTTTGGGAACCCAGCCATTGCAGGGAGAGGGGGGATCCCCAGGCTTCCAGGAAGGGTGGAGTCCATGGGGAGCAGAGATGCATTGCAAGGCCCTGGGCAACACATGTGCCCACATCAAGGACCACTTTGGAGAGGTGACTGCAAGAAGGAAGGAAAGAAAGGAGGAAGGACAGAGGGAGGAAGAACAGAAGGAAGGGAGGTGGGAGGAAAGGAAGAAAGAAAATAATGTGTTGAGTGTCTTCACCTGCCCCTGCTGCTCCCTCTCCCTGGACCTCTTCATGCAGAACCCCCCGCCCTCCCACCTGGCTCCTTCTCAGCCTTTGAGGCTCAGCTAAGGTTGCCTAGCTAAGGTTGCACCCCTCCCTGCTAGCTTAGCTTCTCTCATGTCAGCCTTTCTCCTTCAGAACACTCTCATTATCTGTCATTATCGTTTTTATGTTTTGTTGGCTGTTGCCTGTCCCCACCCCCTAGAATGTGAGCTTCCTGAAGACAAGGATTTTATTTTGTGTGCATCCACCTCTCTAGCACCTGGCACAGAGCAGATGTGTCTCTAGTAAACATTTGATGAGTGGGGAAAAAAACAGATGAATGGATGGATAAATGGGTGGGTGGATGGATGCATGGGTGGATGGAGGAATGAGTAGATGGATGGATGGGTAGATGGAGAGATGGATAAATGGATGGATGAGTGAAGAATGGCTGGGTGGGTGGATGGATAGACAAATAGATGGTTGGATGGGTAGATGGAGGGATGAGCAGATGGGTGGGTGGGTGGAGAAGGGATGAGTGGGTAGATGGATGGGTGGATGGCTAGATGGGTAGATGGTAGGTGGGTGTATGGATGATGGATGGGTGGACAGATGAATGAATGGATGGATGGACAGGTGGAAGGATGCTGGATGCTAGCTGCTTTACATGCATAGTCTCATTTAACCTGCACAAATATCCCACAACGTGATCTATGGTGTGGTTGTGGAATGGACTCAAGCACAATCCTTGATGTGGTTTCACGTGTGGGCTGAGAAAACAGAAGCTCAGGGAGATTTAAAAACACAGCCAAGTTCCTCTTGAAGATATTAGAACAAGAATGGGAACTCAGGTCTCCCAGATTCAAATCCTTTCTGATCTAAGGAAGAAGTGAAGGAAAGGGATTTATACCTCTGGATTCACTGCCTTGAAGACCAAGAACCACCTCCGCTGACATCATAACAAGCATCAGTATCTATAGTGACCCAGGCCTCTCACAGCTTCCTAAGGCAGCAAGTAAACCAGTCGCTCCATCTTGAACATGGCCCCACAGTGGAGAGTCTGTGATCCCTTACCTTGTTCACTTCTTGTCATGCATGTTCCACAGCTCATGTTGGAATGATTTATAAGTTTATATAGATGCTTGGTGGCCACCATGTCCCCATACCCAGGTCATTGCTTTTACAAACTAGACAGTGACGTGGCTGCACTAGTGGCTTCAGAGGTGAGGGACCCAGGGGAGGCTCAGGGGTGTCCTCTAGAGAAGAGAGCCCCAGCCCGAGGTGGAAGAGGGGCAGTTATTGAAAAGAGACTCCAGTAATCATTTATCTCTCAGTACTCAACCACCTGGGGTTTGACAAGTCAACACTTCCAACCAACCATCATCAAGTGACTACTGGGTTTTGAACCCTGTGTTGGGCTCCGGGGACCCTGAAATGAGGAACACATGGCCCTGCTGATGGCCTGACTCAGAGAAACAAACAGACTTGATTACAGCATGTAGAAGGCTGAAAGTGCATTAACATGAGGCAGAGTCTCAGGAAATGTTTACAGTGGCAAGAAATGTAACCCGTGGGAAAGATGGCCAGTGAAAGCTCCTTGTGTCTCAGCACTGAGGGGTAATTTTCATTTACTTCGGAGGTTCCTAACCTGGGCGCATACCCTCATTTTATTATTTAATGCACTGATACAGAAGCACATATATTACTACAGCACAAATTCGGTTTTGGATTTTACTACTGTATTGATATAGAATTGGTTTCCAATCTGTTTTTCTTTATGCATCTAATAACACAGTCTGTTGGAGTATAAAGTGATAAGTGTCTCAAGGGAAGTGAGAATAATTTTATTCTGAGGGGAGTTCATGGGCTTTTCCAAACCACCGAAAGGATCTGTGGCACAGAAACCAGATTAAGAACCCTGTGCCTGGAAAGTGAGGCAGGGTTCTTTCAGGTGAGAGTGACCAACTCAACTCTAACGGGTTTCAGCAAAACATGATATCTTGATGGTCCACTACGGGCATCTCGTGGCTTCAGGTGTGGCTGAATCCAGGAGTCTCCCATGAAGGAGACCGGCCCCAGAGCCAGCCTCCTGTCTCTCTATCCCTCTGCTGTTGCTACTTGACCCCAGCGGGTTAGCGCCTCGTTCCATGGGCAGCTCTAAGGCAGGCACGATGGCTCCTCCCTGATGCTTATCTTCTCCATTGCCTCTTTCTCCTTCTTCCTCTCTCCACCCACAGCTATATATCAACATAGGGAAGTGGGGAGGGGTCGTCTCTGAGGAATGTAATACTGTGACTGGCCTAGTTTGGGTCTCATGCCACTCCTGGGGCCTTGGAGGCAAGGGCTGGGAACATTCCTTAATGGGCAGCCCCTGAGGACCAAATGGAAAGTGTGTAAGTGTTGGGGGTTCCCCAAAAAAGGAGAGCTTCTTCCCTAGCATTTCTGCGTCCTCTGGAGGCCCTGTCCTCCAGGCGTCACTGCTGGCATGGTGACAGATAGGACGTAGAACCACAGAAACAAGTAGGGCATGGAATAAGATGTCAGGAAGTGGCCAGGGGCCCTGGAGCCAGTGCAGACAGTGCGCACTGCAGGCAGTCGGAAAGAGACGCCCCAATACAGCCAAACACCCAGAGCAGCACAACTCTACCCTCCTGGGGCCCAGGAGCCAGGCACTGGGCTTGGCCCTCACAGAGTGATCCCACTGGGCCCCCTCCATAGCCCCGTGAGGGTGGCTGTGATGGTCTCCATGTGCCGTCAAGGAAACTGAGGCCCAGGGAGGTTAAACTTCTCATGAGGCCATATATGAGGAGCTAGGGCATAAACTCCGATGGGTCTCAAACAGCCCAGCTTTTTAACCAAGGGTGAGTCGTGTGTGTGTCTTATACATGTGTATGTGTATATATGCACACACGTGTATGCATGTCTACATGTCCGGATGTGTGAGCATACTCATGTCTGTGTGTGCACATATGTGTGTCTATATGCATGCATGAGTGTCACATATATCTGCCTGCATGTGTGTGCATGTGTATGTGTGTGTGTGCATGTACACATGTGTATCTGTGTATATGTGTGCTGTGTGTATGTACATGTGTGTGAAGGGGTGACAGTGGCAAAGGACTTTTAGTTCATTCCAATAGTGCCAATTTAAGGCCCCGTTTTCCCACTCCCCAGCCCCCAGCCCCCAACCTCCATCCTGCAGGGGTGTCTGAAGTGTTTTTCCTCTAACCAGATTCTGTCTTCTCTCCAGCAGGCTCGTCCACCAAGGAGACCCGTGAGTATCTGTGCAGCTCCACACCTCCCCCGACCTCATCTGCTCACCTCCTGCTCCCATTTGTTCTAGGGCAAGAAGGCCCAGGGCCCCTGCTCTGAGCCCTGCAGGTCCCAGAGAAACCTGGGCTTCCAGATTCTTCCCGATCCTCTCCTCCCATGGCCCAGTGGTGCCTTCTGAAGCCCCTAAGCCCTGTGGCAGGGTTGGCCCTCTCTCAGCCATTTGGACTGTAGGGACACAGTTCAACTCTGCCCCTTGTCCAGTCCCCCTGCTGCAGTCTGGACCGCACCCTGCCCCTGCCTCCCCTCTCTAACAACCCCACACAGCTGGGAGCCCAAGGGCCAGGTCAGTGCTCCCTAACCCTATTGCAATGACCCCAGGCTTGGCTCAGGATTCCTGCAACATATTGCAATGAACCCAGGCTTGGCTCAGGATTCCTGCAACAAAGTGCAAGAGACCATGTCAGGCACTACAGGGACTCCAGAGACAAACAGAAGTGGATGCTGATTGTCTGTTGGGGTAGAAATGTCAGACTTGCCAAGAGAAGTGGAGAAAGGGCTCTGGGTTCCAGGAGGAGCACCCCCTTCCAATGGGCAGATCAGGGAAGGCGGTGACCTCTCTGCAAAGGCCTAGAGGCAAGAACGCTCCAGTGAAAGCCTTGACTAGAGAGTCAGGGACAGGGAAGCAGAGGGAGAGCTGTGATGATGGCAATAGTAATGATGATTGAGTGCCTGTTGTTTGCCAGGCACTGGATTCAGAATGTCACAAGCATCCCATGCAATCCTACATACAACCCTATGTTGGTGCTATAATTAGTCCCTTTTATAGGTAAGGAAACTAAGGCACCAAGCAGCAAAATCTCTTGGCCAAGATCACACAGCTGTAAGCCGTAAGGCAGGAGTCAAATCCCCTCCACCATCTATTCCAGAGCCCACCCCCTCAACCCCTGTTTGCAAGAGGCAATACCTCCAGGCCCTCTCCATTTCCTTCTCAACATGGCAGTGACTCTGAAGAGAGCTGTGGCTCCCAAAATAGGACTTTACCTGACTAAGAAGGGCATGGGTGCCCCAGTACACTGCAAGACTACAGAAAGCAAAGACAATATGAAGTAACACAAATCATTCACCCCACACCCTTAACCCTCGCTCCCTGAAGCCTCCTTAGTCCTATTCGGAAGTGGACACAGAGTGTCACAGCATCTTGTTGCTATCAAACACTTAGACATCACCTGCTGGGGGGATGGCAAATTCAAGCACACATGCTGCCTTCCACCCTGCCTGCTCCCATGGCAGACATCACCAATCGATCCCAGCATTCTTTCCCTCCAACCCCATAGGCAGCCTTGAGAGCTTTATCATTAAGTCTTTAACAGGAGGTCCACATTGACATTTAAGAGGAAAGCTGTTTGACAACCCTGATCTAAACCAACTCCCTGATTTCACAGTTGGCAAAGATAGAGGGAGCAATTTCTGCCAAGCCACAAAGCAGATAAATGAAAGAGCAGCCTATTTCCTGAATGCACCGCTGCCCCAGTGTTCTTGGTAGCACACCAGCTCCATGCCCTGAGCAACAGCACAAGAGTTCCCAGGGGGATCAGGCCTCAGGGACTGAGGCAGCTGATGGGAGCAGCCTTCTAAGCCAGAACCCAGAGAGCAACCTCCTGCCTCCCAGAGGCTGAGGCCCCCTTGGCCTCATCTCCCTTCATCTAGCAGCGTGACTATGAAGGCTGGATGGTCAGAAAATCAATTCCGGAAAAGCCTGCTTAAGCCAGCCTGTTGACATCGGGTTTATCAGACTTAGCTGCAATTGACTAGGCTGTGGGCAAACTCCGGAAGTGGTCCCCAGGGCTGGGAATGATCTCCCTGCATAGGTGAGACCATCTGGGTGAAAGGCACATGTGGCTGGAGGTGTGGCCCCAAGGCTGTAGGAGATCAGGAGCCATGTCCTCGCTTCCCTCCCAGCATTGCGCCTCAGCCAGTCCCATAGGTGGGGGTGAGCCCCTTCACAGGGATCCTGCCCAGAAGGAGGAGAAGGGGAGCTGGTCCACTCCCAGCCCAGCCCTCTCTCCCCTAAGCCACAGGCTTAGATGCCCACTCTCTCCTGAACAGCCCCTCACCTCAGATGCCTCAGCCCCTGCCCGCTCTCTGAATGACAATGTTGTGGTTTGAGGTCAGTCCCACCCATAAGGTGTATGTGCTGAAACGAGGAAGAGGGAGCCCCGGACAGGCATTTCCTCTCAGATCCTTGGGGTTGCCTGTTCAGCAGAGGGAACCCAAGCCAGCAGGGTTCCCTGGTGCGGGCTGCATTTGCTTCTAGAAAGGGCATATTTACCTACTCAAAGGTGCTCGCCAAGCCTGGCACCAGTGGGTTGTGCCCCTCCAGTAGACCAGGGAGGGCCCTGGAAACCACATGGTCCCTTCCAGCCTCAGGTGCATCCTGGCCCAAATGCTGTACATGTTATGTGTGAAGACTATCCAGTGCCTCCTATGTGCCAGGTACAGGAGTTATCAGGATGAGTCAACAAGATAATAAACATAACATCCTGGCCCCAGTGCCCTGCATGCAGCAAGGCCTTGGCGTGTGCGAGCTTCCTTAAGGAGCCTGCAGCTTTGCTCCAAAGCACACACTGGCAGACCTTGGCCAGACACCTGGCACAGGGGCTGGGGAGGGAAAGGCTGCCCAACCCCTGCTCTCCCTTTGCAGGTAAGCATTCTCCAAATCCATGTTTACCCAATCCTCCCAAATGCTGCCTTCCAAACTGTCAGCTGGTGCTAAAAAGCACACATTAGGATGAATTAGAACGTGCCAGGCTGCAAGTGCGGATGTCGTCCCCTCTCTCAAAGAGCACGTTGAGGGCTCAGCTGCCCAGCCACATCTTGAGGTCCCACTAGCATCTCCCCCAGTCACAGAGCTCCCCCGTTTGCCCTGTGAAGGCTGCATGGAGAAGATACAGGTCTTAGAAACAGACAACATCACCAGAGGTGCCATTTACTGAGTGTCCAGTGGGCTCCCAACACCATGCTAAGCTCCCAGTGGGAGAACCAGAACCACCTGCCTGTTCTCTGTTGTATCCCAGCATTAGGCATATAGTAGATGCTCAGGAAATGAGTGATAAATGAATGAATGATGAGAAGAAGAATAGCCAGCGTGTACTGAGCATTCAACCACACTCATGTATTCCTCACAAGAACCCAGTGGGGGAGGCACCACAGATGTTCCATTTTGCAGATAAGATGAGGTGCAAGGACGTTGAGGACTTGTCCAAGGGAACGTGGCTAGAGAAATATGCTCCAACCCACCCCACCAGGGCCCCTGGGAGTTCTCAACGGGGGCTCTGGGGACTCAGAAGGCTGCCGTGGCCCAAATGAGTTTTCAGGAGAGTCCCTTCGTCATGGTGACTCCGGTTTACTCTGGTTACGTTTACCCAGGGTGCTCTGCTGGGGCTGGAGCTATGATGAGAAGCCCAAAAATTAATTCTGGGCTGGTCCTGTGTGCTCTGGTGGGGGCTGTTGGGGGCACCGTGGAGCATAGAAGGGCACATCTCTCAGACTCTGCAGTCAGCAAAGAATCCCTGAGAAAGAGGCTCTGAGCTTCGCTCCCAGCTGCTCCCTGGCCCTAGCCCTGGCCCTCCCCTCTTCCTCCCGCAAGCCCCTCCTGAGCTGCTGCCCACCAAGGCTGTTCTGTTTCCTCCCCAGAGGTCATGAAGCACAAATGTGGCCTCATCAAACCCTGCTCAGCCAACTACTTTGCGTTTAAAATCGGCAGCGGGGCTGCCAACGTCGTGGGCCCTACTATGTGCTTTGAAAATCACATGTAAGTACCTGAGGGGAAACTATGTTTATTTTATTTTACTTTATTCTTTTATTTATTCATTAAAAAAATTCCGAGGCTGCAGGAGCTGGCCTGTGAGACCAGCCCACAGCTTCCCTTTTATTCTGGGTGTGTGAGCCACAAATAACAATAATTCAAACAGCTCCCGCATCTGCCAGCACCTTGCCAAGTGCTTCACAGTATTTCTCATTCACTCCCCCAACATCCTGGGAGGTGGGGCTGTTACCTCTATTGTAAAGATGAGGGCAGTGGGGTGCAGACAGGGTCACCTGTCCAGTGGCAGGGCCAGGACTTGACCTCAGGTCTAACAGCCAAGTTGCTGGGCTTCCCATGAAAGGAGATGCCTGCAAAGAAGGTTCAAGGTCCTGACCCAGGCGTCAAAGCCCAGACGTAGCAGGCACCGGGGCTTCCACCCCAGTATGGGAGAAAGGCTGTGTACCCATCATCCAACTTAGATAGTAAAGGCCCCAGACACCAAGTACATACTATGAAAAAACTCAGAGATGGGTGTTTAAGCCAGGATTCTGAACGTAACCACCGTTTGTTTAGGGAAAACAAGGAACTGATGGGTTCACAGACCTAAAAGACCAGAAGTGGTAGGCAGGCTTCAGGACCAGCTGGATCCAGGGATTCAAACCATGTCATCAGGGCTGTCTCTCACCCCATCTTCAGCTCTACCATCCATGGTATAATAGCTTTGCTTTCTTTTCTACTTGCAAGGGATTGATCCATGTAGTTAAGGAGAGAGACCACCAGCTGGTTTGACATATTAGCCCAGCCTAGCGCCCTAATGGGAAAAGAGCCTTCCTGTCTAAATTATCCCTGCAAAAGCCCCAAGCCTGTGTTTCATTGACCGGCCCAGTTCACATGACCATGCCTAGCCCAATGTATTAGTCTGATTTCACGCTGCTGGTAAAGACCCGAGACTGGATAATTTAAACACGAAAGAGAGTTTAGTGGACTCACTGTTCCACATGGCTGGGGAAGCCTCATAATCATGGTGGAAGGCAAAGGAGGAGCAAGTCACATCTTACATGGATGGTAGCAGGCAAGAGAGAGCTTGTGCAGGGGAATGCCTCTTTATAAAACCATCAAATCTCATGAGACTTACCATTACAAGAACAGCATGGGAAAGACCTGCCCCCATGATTCAATTACCTCCCACCAGGTCCCTCACACAACATGTGGGAATTCAAGATGAGATTTGGGTGGGGACACAGCCAAACCATATCAGCCAGTCATTGTAGCTGGGGACATAGGATGCTCTGCTTGTCCAAGCCTGGGAGAGAGAGCTCAATCCCAGGAACCACCTGGCCTGTGTGTAGAGAAAGACAGTTCTCCTGTGGCACACCTGTAGACAGGGGTGTGGATGCTGGGCCAGCAGGAACACAGCTGAGCCACAGGGGGACTGACACCCCAAGGGGACAGCAACCTTCGGGGTTCAGCCTCTTCCCAGCAGCCAGGTCTCACAGTCTAGGGATAGGCTGGCCCCACCTCCAGCACCTCAGAGACCCAGGCAGGAACCTCGCCTTTTCTCTGAGAAGGCTGTTCTGGTCAAACATGCCTTGAGAAACTCTTCAGAGACTCCAGCCCACCACTAGTTTTCAAGAGAAAACAGATGGCCCCAGTTATTCTATGTGTTTCCCGATGCTTCCGCCTTGCTTATGTGGGCCCTCTCTGAGTTCCCCAGTCGGGACAGCAGACTGTTCATTCCACGCTCAGGAATGAGTGTCATATTTCTTCTTCATTGTCTTCAGAATCATGAGTCCTGTGAAAAACAACGTGGGCAGAGGCCTGAACATCGCCCTGGTGAACGGTGAGTTGCAGATCCATCCCCCCAACAGTTCCCACCCAGCGCTGGGGAGGGTAGGGGGTAGCGGCATGTCCATTCAACCAACAGTGGCTCAGCTCCTACTTCGTGGCAGGTAGAGCTCAGGACGGTGGGGGCGTGGCTGACCTGGGGGAACAGAAGGTCTCAAAGATCTGCAACACTGTAGAACCGCAGTGCTAGCCAGGCCCCTGCCACATGCTCCTAGCTCAGAAGGACACCGTTCTGCTATGGAACATGAATGAAACATGACTCCCTCCTCAAAGCCACCCCACTGAAACCAACACACATGAGGACGTGGGGACAATCAATGACAATGCAAGATCACGTGCTGAGTATACACTTTTTTCATTCATTCATTCATTCATTCAACGAATGCAGGCAGCAGCGACTGTGGGCCAGGCCCTGTACAGGACACTGGAGTCAGCCGTGAACTAGAAAGACAGGCCCTGGCTCAGCCACTGTAGGTATCTGTGAAGCTCACAAACAATCTCAATGTGGTGAGCCTCTCTGATAGGAGCAGGAAGCATAGCTATGGGAACGCAGAGCAAGGGACAGACCCAGGGTAGCTCAGAGGAGGCTTCCAGTGGTAAGTGATGGCCAGCTGAGGCCTGAAAGATTGTAGGTGCGGCCAGGAGAAAAGCAGGGAAGCCTCCTCCCAGGCAGAGGCAGCACAGTGCAGGGAGGAGGAAGGGAGAGGGAGGGAGAGAGGTTTTCAGGGCAACATGGAGAGGCGAGGCTGGGGAGAGCAGAAGGCCAGAGGATAAGGAGCTAGCAACCCTGCTAAGAAGTGTGACTGGAAGCCAAGAGCAGTAGGGAGCCATGGAACAGCTTTGAGCAGGGCATGAGGGGCCAGCCCTGCATTCCAGAATCCTCCCTCCAGCTTGGAGCAGCAGGCTGGAGGCAGGGCGACCACAAGGGAATCCAAGGCCTTGATAACCCAGCAAGCATCTCCTGCAGGACACACACTTACACTGGAGGCCAGAGGGCTGCCAAGCCTGAAGGAGGGACATGTTTCAGGAGGGAGTGGACTTACAGGGTCAGGTAAGGACTAGGTGGTCTGGCCCCAGCCAAGGCCTCCTCTCGGCCTCTGTTCTTAGAAAACAAGGGCCATTCCCTGACTGTAAGGACCACTTCTGGGACCCAGGTCAGGGCAGCTCAGGGAAAAGGTGTAAGGGATGCTCAGGAAGGAACCTGTCGAGCTTGTGTGTGGCAGGACCACATAAGCACACTGAGGAAGGGACAGAGTAGGACAGGAGCCCCCGCCTTGCCAGCCCCAAGCCCCTGCACTTTGCTTCAGAGGAAGCCTTTTCCTGCTCTGTCAAGAAATCCTGCTGGGTTGGGGAGCAGCTGAGGCCTGGAGCAGTGATGGGGCTGTCCCTGGACAGACGGGAGTCAGCGGACCGCCCTGGCCAGCTTCCTAGGAGCCCGGGAAGGGCCGGGGCAGGGAGAGGCAGGAGGGCTGAGTGGAGCCGTTCCTCTGGAGTTTTGAGGAGGGCCCAGGCCTGTTCCACTCCAGCCTCAGCAAAGTGGCTACAGGCTGGCGGCTCCCTCCTGCAGGGAGGGCATGCCCAAGCTGGTCTTTTGAGTTTGTGCCAGACCCCAGAAGACTGTAGGAGCCTCAGCTTACATCAACACTCACATCAACCCATCTGCCCTCACCCCGCAGTGGAAGTGGGCAGGAAATGGCTCAGGCTACAGCTGACCTGGATGAAACCTGCTGGGTTTCTCCCCTAAATGGGCCCCACCTGAGATAAGCTTTTCGAATCTTCTCCAGTGAGATGGCCCCAGACTAGACCTCTTTCCCTGCCTCTCTCGCAAAGCCAAAAGGATGAAAATAGCCATCAATGGCAATAAGCACCAGCATTTATTGGGCACTTACTGTGCTTTTTCACTTAACCCCTTCACTGTGCCAGGATGGAGCTATGCTCAATATCCCCATTTCCCAGGTAAGAAACCAAGGCCCAAAGAGGTTAAGCAGGCTGGGTGCAGTGGCTCATGCCGGTAATCCCAGCACTTTGAGAGGCAGAGGTGGGCGGACTGCTTGAGCTCAGGAGTTCAAAACCAGCCTGAGTAAAGGTGAACCCCCCCAACCCGCCTCCTTCTCTACAAAAACATTTAAAATTTATCTGGGTGTGGTGGCACACGCCTGTAGTCCCAGCTACTCAGGAGGCAGAAGCGGGAGGACTGCTTGAGCCTGAGAGGTCGAGGCTGTAGTGAGCCAAGCTTACACCACTGCACTCCAGCCTGGGCAGCAGAGAGACCCTGTCTCAAGAAAAAAAAAGAGGTTAAGCAAGGTCTCACAGCCTAGAAAACCACCTACATTTGAACCTGGATTGAGTTAACTCCAGGTCTTAGTCATTCAGCTGAACTACCTCCCTAGACTAGAAACGTCTCAACCATGTATACAGCACCTACTGTATACATATGTGCTGCGTATGCCAGCTGTGGGGACGCCCAACGAATCACGTCAGGGGCTCAGGGTCCTCATCTGCATGACCCAGAGCAACACAAGGATTGCTAAGGGTCCAGTAGTCTTGAACCTTTAGTGGGCAGAGATTCCTCAGGATCTTCAAGCTATGCTGGCTGCTACCCCCACCCCCACCACGCTCCAATTGCAGAAACACAAGCGCACGCGATCATAAAAACAGCTTCATGGGTTCATAGACTCCTTCCACGGGCCCCAGGTGTAGCGTTCCGTGGACGCTCCGTGGCTCGCTAGAATCCTGGAGGGGCTGCTAGGCGAGCCTGCCAGCCTGGACAGCGCCACTCCCCAGGCCTGGTCCCCACCCTCCTCCGGAAGCCTCGGAGCTGCCATCCCCTCTGCAACACCGCCATCTAGTGACGGAGAGCGCGAACTGCAACGTTCCTCCAGAAGACAGGGCTTCCTGGAGGGCTTGGCCTTCAGCCGCCTCCTCCCCCAAAACTCACCAACGCAATCCAGGTTACTGGACCCTGGGAAGCTGAGTACTGTTTAGCCCAACACAAATCCCTTTGCCTTCAAGAGTTAGAGGACTCCAGTTGTAGATTTTCAATTTAGGTGGGAATGATGATGACGATTGTTAATTTGATTTTGATTTTGCAGCTAAAATTCATCTTGTATGACTACTATTAATAGTTTAAATGTATCTCATTTTGTTCCCACAACCCATTGTACAGATGCAAAAATTGAGGTCGAAATGCTAAGTCCTGCGTTAGGAAGTGGCAGGACAGAACACAGACTCAGACTGGGTAGACTCAATTCGATTCCAGAGACACCCTCAGCCATTATGTTCTTGAACCTCTCAAATGAGCCCAGCCATCCCTGGGCACCTACTTGAGTCCTGCATGCTCTCTGTAGGACCTGATTTCATTAGATTCTTATTCTGTTTTTGGATCTTAGACTACGAATTAGCCATTTTCAGCAGAAGGACACGCGTTACAGGGATAATCGTTCTCCTCTTAACCCCTAGGAACCACGGGAGCGGTGCTGAGTCAGAACGCATTTGACATGTACTCTGGAGGTAGGCGCCTCTGCTGACACTGACATCACAGTGGTGGGGGGTGCAGTGCAGAGGGCTGAGCCTCTTCATGTGGCAAGGGAGCTGGTGGCTCAAGGTACCTGGTACTCAATTCCACGGGAGGCACCCAGAAGGAGGTGCAGTGGGGGATTGAGGGTCTCCTGCTGCTTTCATAACTCCTGGCCGTCTCAGGTGGGATCTCCCAGACTCAGATCCTAAGACAGGGATTCAAGAGCAAGGCTTATTTAAGAAGTGAACTCAGGAAATGTCGGTAGGGGAGTGGGGAGCAGACAGGGACAGACAGGAAGCCAATGCAGAATATGTTACTGAGCCATTTAATCAAACTTGGAACCCTGGAGCCAGTGTGGAATACATGCCCCAGAGATTTCCCAGAGAAGTGAGGGGACTGGGGTGCCCATGCCTCTAATTCCTTGGCATGCACTTCTGGCCTGCGCTCGGAGCAAAGTGAACTCTGGAGGCTGGAGAAGACCTTGAGGCAAAGCAATGCCATTGTTGATGTCACTGCAGTGCTATGGATGAGGGTGTGTGGCCCATCAGCCATACACACTCAAGCTCTGCTAGGTAAAGGTACTTTATTTCAAGGTCACATTGATCTCTTGTGAACCCAAGGACAGGACGGGGCTCCTTTCTGGACCTTACACTCCAAGCTCTCCACGTCTTTTGGCAGATGCCTGTCTTCTCTGGACCTTACACTCCAAGCTCTCCATGTCTTTTGGCAGATGCCTGTCTTCTCTCTGCACCTACATGCTTTGCAGGTTTCTCTGTGCACACAGCTGCCCCTTAGCAAGTCACTGCCTTCCTTGCCTTTAGCATGGCTGGGCAAGACAGGCCACTGACCTAGCTGTGCTGAAATCCCAGACATCTAAGTTCCCACCAGCAGCCTCCTCACCAACCAGCCGCTTATGGGCGGGGGTGGAACCCTGACCCAACATTCCCAACAGCTTTCAAAACGTTGCAGGATCAATTTCAGGCCGTCTGCCACCCATGCTGCCCAGCTGCTTACCCCGTCTCCCTCCAACACAGGAGGCTCAACAAGGAGTGACAAAGCAGCAGGCAGCATAGACCTGGGCCCTGCAGGGACTGGTTTCCATCAGAGGGGGTGTCAGAGCCCAGGTGGATGCAATTTTCCTTCTGTATCCTTGAGACCACAGGGCGTCTCTGTGCTCGGCCATCCTGGGATGTACAGCGTGTGTGACCACAGACCCCAGAGAGCCCCTCACAGAGCAGAAGGGGCCAAGCTGCTGCCAAACAGCTGGGTTTTCTCTCTCCTGAATTCCCCTGCCCTTGTCTCAACCTCTAGGGAAAGCCCACCCTGCCTACACCCACCTACACTCATGAGTCCAGGAGGGGTGAGAGTTACCAGGCAGCCGAAGGCAGGAAGCCCTCTCAGCTTCGCAAACAAAGGAAGAGGCTGAAAGGTGGGAGGTGGGGAACACTGGGGACATGATCTGCAGGGCCATTCTCAGAGATGGGCAGCTGGGACCCTGTCCTGGACCCAGGGCTTCATAAGGCCCCACCCAGCCCTCCTCCAGATCTGGCCAGCTCATGGGTGAGGAGTCCACAGAGCCAGGGATGTGCTGACCTGGAGCCTGTATCAGGGCCCACGCAGGCCTCTTCCCAGGCGTGCCCTGCCTCCAGGCTTCAGACACTCCCCAGGACGGAGGGGTGACCAGGGGCTGGCCGTTGCTTGACAGGAGGGTGGTGTGGACGGAGCTTGGACAGGCACACTGGCATTTCCACGTGCAGTGTGCAGGGTCCCTCCTGGTACAGGATAGAGCTGAGGACAGGGTAGCAGGAGATGGGGACAGGCCATGGGCTGAGGACCAGACATCCTACCCGGGGTCCTGCTGATGTTCAGCATGGCCTGGGGCCAGCTTTATTAAAAAGGTCCAGTCTCCAGAGTCAGAGGCTTCTGGCAGCATGACCTGAGGCAAGTGACGCCTCTTGAGCCTCGGTTTCTTCGTCTGTAACATAGAGACAGCCATAGTCTTCACTCCATACGACTGATGCGAGGATTAGATGATAATCTGGAATGACTGCTGGAAGGGTGTCCAGCCTGCCTGGGGGGGCGGGGCCAGGCAAGCTCGTTTAGTCCTCTCCCTTCCCTCCTCTTCCCCTTCCCTTCCCCCTTCCCTCATTCCGTCCAGATGACTCAGAAGCAAGGAGATCATCTGTCAGAGTGAAAAGGAAAACAAGTTTTAAGACGAAACTAAGCTTTAAAATGCCTTGTTATAAACTTGAATGTAGCCATGGCAGATGGGGATCCAGAAACAGAAGTTTTGTGAGCAAGCAGCCCTTTCCTTCAGGAAACAAAAGGAGATGGTGGCTTTTTAAAGCGAGGTGATCATTAGCAGAAGGCATGCTTTATTTTTTCAAATACCCACCATCCATCCAGGCAAGCGCCAGACCATAATATCTGCTAACAACACAAATTAACGGTGTTTTAAGGGCTCCCTCCCTCAAAGAAGCTCAAGGGCCATTTCTTTAGAGGAGACTGTGGTGGTTGACTGGAAACCACTGTTACTGACCTGGTTGGCAGCTGGCCTTAGTTGGGGCAGTGGTTTCTTCCCCAAGGTCCTAGGGGTCCAAACTGGAATACTAATAATCAAGGCCAGCTGTGACCTGGAGACAGGGCAGTCACACAGGGCCCGTGCTTGGAAGAATCTCACACTTGACTTGATGTTCTGCCATCGTGTTCTTGAAAAATACTTAATAATTTTTTATTGAAAGGCCCTGATTTTCATTCCGCACTGGGCCCTGCAAATTATGCAGCCAATCCTGCTAATAATTTTTGGTTCCACTAGAGTGTACTTACTGTATCCCCAAGGTTATTGTCACATTTGCACTTTATGAAGATCCTATGAGCAGGGCTATTACTCAGCCTCATTTGACAGATATAGTCTCTGCTTTAACCACTAGGCTGTTTTTTTCCCAAACTTCAGCCCCCTCAGGTTGTACCATATCTAGAATAACATCTGCATTATTCATATTTTCCTTTAAATTGTGTCACTTTTTTTCTTACCTAAGTAAATAGATCTTGAAACTATATCACTGCCTTAAATAGAAAGCCATTATCACTCATTATGCAGGAAAGGTGACCATAAAAATAATCACAATGGAAACAATTTAGCCTCTTCACAGGGAGCTGGATGCTGACGCCTTCCACAGGTGCTAAGCCTAGAGCTGCTGTCTGTTAAATGAAGAACTTGGCAAGTTAGGGAGGTGTTAAAGACACACGCAGAGCCTTGCTCCTTGACACAGCAGGAGAGCTGTATTAATAGTAGACTCGAGTTCTCTCCCAGGGATCTCAGTTGTTTCAGGCCACGTGCTACACCATCTAAAGTCAGCACTGATCATCTGGGCACTGTCCAGTGTAGAATGGGGTCTGGAGTATGCAAAGGGCCCAGAGCACCTGAGAGATGATGGTACTTGGTCCCCTGAGGGGTAGGCACACAAGGGCCCTTCTACCAGTGGTGCTCACCCTCCACTGCACGTCACAGTCACCTGGGGAACTTTTAAGTTCCAGTGTCCAGAAGCCACCCCAGATCACCTGGGTGAGTCCCCCCTCACTCTGCTCACTCTGCCCTCCCCTAGGACAAGGGCTACAGGGGGCTCCACCCGGGATGTTCCTCCTCCTGGCTCCTGAGCACAGCCCAGTGTCTGCAGGACCCAGCTGGCTCCTGAGTCACAGGGCAATAGACAAACATGAGAATGACCAGGGCTCATTTCCCCTAAATCACCAGCACCGCCTTTTCCTTCCTCCCCCAGATATTAAGCACCTGGTGAAATTCCTTAAAGAAATTCCAGAGGGTGCACTGGTGCTGGTGGCCTCCTACGACGACCCGGGGACCAAGTAAGTGGAAAACTCTACCTGCCAGTCCGTGCGGCGATGTGAGCTGAACACCTCCAAACCCTGCATGTCCTCTTCTGCTCTCTTGCCAGCGCCATTTTCTGGCAACTTATCTTGAGGAAATTATCAAACAATGATGCAAAGGAATGTTCTAGGAGGTTCATCACAGCCTCTATTACCACCGTGAAAAACTGGAAACACTCCCCCTGTCCAGTAATAATGGCTGACTGGCTACAGAAACTATGACATATGGTAACACAGGACAAGATGTATACAGAGATAAAGATAGACTCATCAAAAACGATGGGCAGAAAGTAGTTGAAGATGTGGAAAACGCGCTCACCCTCTGGTGCTAGTGAGGGGAAAACACTACATCAAAATAGATACACTGATCAGGTCAAGGGAAGGAGGGGTGAGACGGGCTTTCTTAGTTACTTCTTTGTGAGGCTCCATGTCTTCCAGATGAACATGTATTGTATTTGTAAACAGGGGGTACTGTTTTAACACATCGCCAGCCCCATCTGAGGCCCTTTTAGGAAGGAAGTCTTGAACCCCTCTAACCTGTCCTTCTTGAGTACAGCCACATTCTCTGGGCACCTCCAGGGAAGACACTGAATGGGAAGAAGAGTGGGAACCTTGCCCCATGGGAATCCCACCACTTAATGCCCCCTCAATCCATCCCTGCATCCTGATCATCCTCTCTGGTCCTCTGCAGAATGAATGATGAAGCCAGGAAACTCTTCGCCAACCTGGGGAGTTCCTATGCAAAACAGCTGGGCTTCCGGGACAGCTGGGTCTTCGTAGGAGCCAAAAACCTCAGAGATAAAAGCCCCTTTGAGCAGGTGGGTTCTGGGCCACAACCTGGCCCTGTGAAGGATGGACAAGGAGCTGTGTGGTGGTAGGAAGGACAGTCACCCACCAAGGGCATTAAAAGTGGGAGTGTCTGGGGAGAGGCCCCTGGTTGTCATTCACTCTGAAAGTCAGGGTGATCTGATTGGCCAGCCCCTGGCAGGAAGCTGTCTGAGCCATTTCGTAAAAGGTGGGTCATATAAAAATAGCCAGGTATATGGGTAAGTACTAGAAAACAAAAAGGGAAAAGGAGAACAGAGGGATGATGGGTAAGTGAGGCATGGAGGAACGAGAAGGAAGTGGAGACATGGAAGCTGTGAGATGGGGAAGGGGAGCTGGGGAAAGGGGCAGGATACCTGTCCCTGTCCCTTCTGCCTCCCTGGCTGGGCATGGAGAACACCAGGAGGGAACTCAGAGGTGGGGAGGGGGCCAATGCCATCATCAGACAACAGGTGCGGGAACGGGCAGGTGCGGGGACCTGTGTGCTGAGCTCCAGGGAAGGCACCGCGATGGGGATTTCTAAGCTGGAAAATTTGGTCTTGGTCTGTATGCGCGTGTTTCTAAGAGAATTATTCAGGTAACTAGAAATTACCTGAACGCAGCGAAGAACACAGGAGGCCGGGGCGGGGTGGGGGGGGTCCCAAATGTCCTATGGCGGTGCTGGGGCAGGGCCCTAGGAAGAGGCCTGAGGCTGCATAGGCAGGAGGTGGTGTTCTGTCCCAAAGTGTGGACTTCAGACCCAGGGGAACCTGCCAGACAGAGGAGGTGCAGGAGTGCAGGGAGCCCAGCATCACCTGCACCCGTCAGCCACCAGCTGGCTGGGACCCAGCACCCCAAAATGAACCAAGCACCCTGATGAGACTAAGCCAATCTGTTCTCTGTCCCCACACTTGGGAAACTGGGCTTTAGACAGGCAGTGTCTAGAATCTCTTTTTTAATTCCTGAGAGTCAGCCACGATGACCCTAACAGCAAATTTTGCCATTTACATTTTTTTCTTCATAAACTAATCCTGAGCATTTGAGACACAATCCTAAGTGATTTTATTCTCTTATATACTTATTACTAGTATGGGTTTTTTTTGAGACAGGGTCTCGCTCTGTCACCCAGGCTGGAGTACATGGTGCAATCTCGGCTCACTGCAGCCTCGATCTGCTGGGCTCAAGAGATCCTCCTGCCTCAGCCTCCTGAGTAGCAGGGATCACAGGCATGCACCACCAGACTCAGCTAATTTTTTTGTGTTTGTAGAGACAGAGTCTCTCTATGTTACCCAGGCTGGTCTTGAAATCCTGGCCTCAAGTGACCCTCCTTCCTTAGCCTCCCAAAGTGCTGGGATGATAGGTGTGAGCCACTGCACCCCGCCCTTTATTAGTAGTATTAATTGATATTACATTGTGATTCTGCCACTTACCAGCCAGTGACTACAAACAGTGACCCTCTGTGCCTCAGTTTCTCCATCTGGAGAATGGGATGTAAACAGTCAGTGCACACTCCCTAGGGCCACTGTGCAGATTAAATACGTAAGGCACTGCAGAACAGCAGTGCATGCAGCAAGCACTCAAGACATGCTAGGAGTTTTCTTTCTATTGTTGCTATTATTATTGTTATTTGAGGTATCCTAGAGGGACACAGAGAATTTAGGAGGAAGGGCTAGATCATTCCAACAACTGGTTACCCTTCATGGCATGATAGCAGTAACTGGGCTCTGATCCCATCTCTGAGACCTTGAGCAAGTTGCATCCCTGCTCTGAGCCTCAGTTTCCCCATCTGTGAAGTGGGTTAATAACATCCTGCACCCCATTTAGGTTTAGAGTGCAGTGCCCATGCAGGTATGGGTTCTAAAGGGCCTTACCCACTGTCTATATTTCTGTGTCTTCTCTCTCCAGTTCTTAAAGAACAACCCAAAAACCAACAAATACGAGGGATGGCCAGAGCTGCTGGAGATGGAGGGCTGCGTGCCCGCAAGGCTATTTTAGGGTGACTATGGCTCTTCTTGTGCTTGGGGACCTGAAGAAGCTCCTGCCTGACTTAGGAGTCAGAGCCCAGCAGGCGCCAAGGAGGAGGAGCAGAGGGTGCCGCGTGGAAGGCGCTGTCTGTCGGTCCTTGTGCGCTGTGTCGCACTTTCCCTCCTCGGAAGCAGAACCCTCCCACAGCACATCCCACCTAGGAGACCAGCCTCAGAGGGCCATTCTGGAACCAGCTGTCTGTGGTGAGAACAGGGTGCTTTCATCAGGGACCGCTGACGGCCTAGGACTGACTGCCCACAAATGCGCCCAATTAAATTTTATTTTTGCTGGTTTTCAGTGAACTTTCTGATCACTCAAGTGGCCATGTTTCTCCCTGGGACTGAACTGCTCCAGACTCAGCGTGGGCCACGGGTTTGGACAGGTTGGTGACAACTTCAGGCTCCCCCTTAGGCAGCTGGGTGGGAGCTGTGTTTCTGGGATTTCCCGTGGGCCTGAGAGAATCCTCGGTTCCTGCAGGACATGTGAGATGGACGGGAACAGAGGGAGCCCGGGGACAGGACGCCAGGAGTACTGCCATCACCCGCTGTCTGAAGGAGAGCTGGAGCAAGTCAGAGCAGGAGAGGGAGAGGGGGCGGGTCCGAACCCGGCTGGAAGGAGCAGCCGGGCTGCGCTGCGGGCTTCAGGGAAGGCAGCCGGGTGTCTACTCCCCAGGAGTGAACCCTGAGGCAAGGACTCAAGGGCAGCCAGTGTATTTGGGAGGTGATTGTGGGAAACACCAATAGGGAAGTAGGGAAGAGAGATGGGAAGGGAAGGAGGGGAAGGCAGCCAGTGAAGGGTATGGTTTCATCAGCCATCCCAGTGGGAACTGGAGCTGACTCCCACCCGAAGCTCTAGGAATCAGAGTAGAGCCCGGCACCTTGGAGATACTCCATCCCAGAGTGAGGGAGCTGGGGTATTTACACACCAACTCCCACCACTGGTTTGTTGAGGGCTTCTGATGCCGGGGATGATGTGAATTCCTAGGCGCTTCTTGTCTGCCCTGCCTAGGGAAGAATGGCCCTCTGTGGCTTCACAGCAAGCCCCCAGCCAAGAGAGGGCAATGCCAGCTGCTGGCAGGCTGCAGAAGCACATTGAAATGGGAAGGCCAAGAGATATGGTGCCAAGACCTGCCTGAGGTCTCTGAGAAGGGCCCAGTTCCCAGGCTCTAGGCTAAGTCTTGAAAGGGAGTCATGGGGGCAAAAGATATTGCTGCTCAGCCTCCCAGAGCATGTGCTGGGGACACTGCACCTCTGGAGAAGGAGCTCTCTTCCCAAGCACAGATGCCCACCAATGGCCTGGGACATGCAGCTCCCAAGTCCTGGGAGAGCTTCAAATGTGCCAAGATAGCCCGGGGTAGAGAGGATAGTGTGTGGGAATCTTCTACCGGGGGCCACGCAGCTGGGACATGGGCTACGGTTGCAGTGATATCAAAATCAAGGTCCAAGCCAGGTGCGGTGGCTCACACCTGTAATCCCAGCAGTTTGGAAGGCCAAGGCAGGCAGATCACCTGAGGCTAGGAGTTCAAGACCAGCCTGGCCAACATACAAAAATTAGCTGGGCACTCATCTGTAATCCCAGCTACTGGGGAGGCTGAGGCAAGAGAATCTCTTGAAACTGGGAGGCAGATGTTGTGGCGAGCTGAGATACATCACTGCACTCCAGCAGGGGCGACAGTGCAAGACTCTATTTAAAAAAAAAAAAAAAAATTCAAGGCCCGAAGCCTGGTGAGAGCCATGCTCAAGGTTGGCTGAGGAAGTCAGAAGGGGCCCACCCAGACATCCAGTCAATTCCATCACTCCCGGCCCCACCCCACTCCCAGCTCACCCTCAGAGACGAAAGGAGGAGCCTGCAGCCAGCCCTGAATAACCACTTCCAACCGCATCAGTAGACTACCTAGGGAAACATGGCCGGAAACCTGCTCTGGGAATGAAGGTGGCAGGAAATTTTCATTGTGACCATAAACACCTTTGAGATCTTGAAAATTTCACCTTACAACAAGCAAGAGTATCTTATAAAATTTTTAAAGAACAGATAAAGTCTTCTAAAGAGAGCTCATCACCAGGGACAGGGCTTGTCACTGAGGTTGTCAAGCCTTCAGGAAGCCAAGAGGGCTCTTGGCAGCGGCCACTATTTTAAGAAGACATGAGGTGGCTGCCTGGTTGAAGAGAAGACACATGGACTTTTCCAGAAACTGCACTGCACAACACTTCAAAGAAGACTGAGAACATGTCAACTGGCTCAATCAGAGAATGCAGGGACGAGTCCCAGGTCCCTTTCCCAGATTTTGCTGCTAATGGTCAGTCTGAAGTCTTCTTTGGAGCACTGCCCTTAGGCTACTCATACCTTCTTTAAGCACAAGTGCAAAGAAGACAGACGGAGGCTCTGAACGTGTACCCACCGCAGGATGCCCCTTAGCCGATGACTGACGGCTGCGGGAATGTGAAAGGCCAGCTCCTTGTCTTGGGGCATGATGACCATGAGGTGCAGTTTACACTCCAGCATTCCCAGAGGGATCAGGCGGGAGCTGGGACGTGGCCTGAAAGTGTCCCTTTTTGCTTGCCTCCTTCCCCTTCCCCATCCTGCACCTCCACTTCCTTACCAGTGTGCCCAGGGGCCAGTCCTTAACAAATCACCTGGGTGACAATCCCTATCCCAAAGTGGGATCCTAGGGGACCCATCCTAAGAGAGGTGGTGGGCACAGCCAGCTGGATGGGACTGGGCTGGAAGATAAGACCTCCAGATCCACAGGAATTGTTGTCGTAAAAGGGGTCCGTTCTCAAGGAGAAAGAGCTCCAAGTGGGGGAGCTGCACTTGCCACTGCCATGTGGAGCCCAGGGAAGAGGCCACGTGCTGTTCCACAGCAGGGAACACAAGGCGGAGATTAGCAATCATGCCCCCCTCCTGCCTCCCCCTCCTTGACAAGGTGTAGGCCCCAGATGCCCAGAATCAGCCAGAAGAGAAGCTTACAGCCCACTAAGGAGACTGACTGCATTCTTGAGCCAGCCACACCAGGCGCCCCCAGGGGTGGGTGTTACAAAAGTGGCAAACACCTGTTAGACTCTCAATATCATTTTCAGGACATTGTGGCCACTATAGGGAACCCCGGGTCAGCTCAAGCTGTAAAGAGTTGGGTCTTTATCAGCAGGAAGTCACTTTTATCACTCAGAAGCAGTTATGACTCACCTGCTATGTATCAGGAACCCAATAGGCTTGGGGATACTGCAGTGAAGAAAACCCAGCACCATTCCTGCTGTTTAGCAGGAGATATAAATCCAGAGGAGACATGGCTTGGCAAGGGGAAAGACCGCCGGACCCTTGCCCCAGCCTTGGGGGATCCAGGAAGGCATCCTGGAGGCAGCACCACCCATGCTGAGCCCTTGGGAGCATGAAGGAGCTTGCTAGGCAAAGAAGGAAGGGAAGAGCATGTCAGGCCAGGGAACAGCACAAACAAGTTTTGGAAGGGCGACAGGGCTGACTGGGAGGTGAGAGCCCGAGGGGCCTTGTGAGCTGGGTAGAGGGCTTGGACTTTGTCCCAGGGCAGGAGACACACTGGGAGCAAGGTGGCAAGATCTACGTATTTTGAAAATTCCTTGCTGCTGTGTGAAGGCATGGAGGAAGGGAGGCCAGTGAGAAGGCTGCTGTATCATCCAGGGGGAGAGAGAGGGTGGTGGTCCGGACCAGGGGCCTCTCCCAGGAATCATCAGAAAGTGAAATGGATAAGACTTGGGACTCATTTTCTCACTGAGGTCGTCAAGCCTTCAGGAATCTCTGCAAGCTAATCATGGCCTCAGAACTGGAGGCTTGGATTTGCCTCCCCACTCCCTGCCAGTGTGCCTCCCACCCACCCAGGAGTGAGGATAGGGCTGTGAGGGGTGGGGCCACAGGGAGAGCTTCCCAGAAGCTGTAATTCTGGTTCTCGCCAGTAGGTGGCGGCACAAGCTAGAAAGGGAAAGGTGGCAAGGTCTCCCCGCCCACCCACCTCTTGGGAAAGGCTGTTGTGCCTAATGAACTCATTATCCGGGCCTTCCCAATGGATGGTGGACTTATCTTCAGCCTTGCCCATAGTGTAGCAAATGCAGCACCTCGCTTCTACAGAGCACGGCAGTTTTCCAGACGTTCTGCTCAGAGGTTTACATGAATTACCTCATTTCATCCTCATAGCCCCCACATTCACGGGATGGGAACCATTGTTATCTTCTTTTACACAGGAGGAAGATGAGGCTCAGAGAGGTCAAGTGACTTGTCCAAAGTCACATAGATAAGGAGTCTCAGAATAAGGGCTGGAATTCCAGTCTGTCTCCAACATTACATGAAACAGATATGTTTGCCCTAAACCTCTCAGGTAAACAGTGTTTCTCCTGTCCTCCTCCTCCCCTCCCCCCCCCCCCCCCCCCCCCCTCCCCCCCTCCTCCCCTCCTCCCCTCCTCCCCTCCTTCACCTGCTCCTAAATGCCTCTGAAGCCTTTTGAAGATTGCACAGAACCTCGGAGTTAGCATTCCCAACACTTGCCCTCCTTGCTTTGGAAGAGGTGCAGGGGAACCAGGTTCGAGGGATTTAGAACTCCTCTTTTTAAAGCCCAAAGCCCCCCTCACACTTTGTAAGCCTTACTTCCTTCCATTAGCCTGTGGGTCAAGAAGGAACAGATGTTTGCTCTCATTGTGCAGATGGAGAAAGAGAGGCTGAGGATGTCCCCAGCCCACAGTGAGATGGGACAAAGCTGGGTCTAGAACACCTGCTTCTTGGTCCTTCACCACCAGCTGTCACTCCATAAATCATCTGTTCACATATTCCAAGTACTGCCTCTGTGCCAGGCATGGTGCTGGGCCCTGGGCCTCCAACCCATCCCTCCTGCCCATGCCATGAGGCCTGAAGGTTGCATTTCGGGCCATGATCCTGCCAGGGGCCAGGCTTCAGAGCCCAGTCACAGGCTCCATCAGCCAATGAGCCAGCCTTTCACCGCAGCACTAAGCCGTATTTCAGCAGGACTCCAAGCAGATGGAAAAAAATTAATAAATGTGTAAAATTCATTCTCTCTCCTCCTACCCCACCAAGAGTCAAGCTGGTGGATAATTATGGGGTGGCTGCCAAAGGAGTTTGATCTTCCGCATTGACTTAGAGCATTTTTACTGCTCCATCTGACAGCCAATTGAGTCATTTCCCTTTACAATTTTGTGGACTCTCTCTTTTCTGCAGGAAATCCGAAACTGTAATCAGGCCACAATTGGAACAGGGAGAAAAGGAGTGCAGAGCAGCCGAGGGAGGCAGGGGCTGAACCCAAGGGAAGGGGCAGGAGGAAGAAGCC